CCCCCCCCCCCCCAAATCCGTATCTTGCAATCCTAACCCCCAAGGCGATGGCGCTTGGAGGAGGGGCCTGTGGGAGGTGATCAGGTCATGAGGGGGGAGCCCTCATGAGCGGGATTTGTGCCTTTATCAACAAGGCCCCAGAGAGCACCCTCACCCCATCCTCCAGGTGAGGACACAGTGTCTTCACCATCTAGGAGCCAGGAAGTGGGCCTCGCCAGACACTGAGTCTGCCCACGCCTTATCTCGGACTTCCAGCCTCCAGGACTGTTGAGAAATAAATGCCTGTTGTTCATAAGCCACTCAGTTCATGGCATTTTGTTACATCAGCCCGAGCTGACTAAGGCAGCCAGGAGTTGGCCGTGAACCTATGGGGGCAGGCCCTGGGCTCAGCACCTTCTCCTGTTCCCTCTCCATCTCGACGTGAGCTTCTCCACGAAGACTCTCCCAGCTGTGTCCCAACGTACGTGCTCTTGCCTCTCCTCGGAGGCCCTGGGGTCTCTGGGTTTGGTGTCTCTGGTTTCTTCACCCCCCAGCACTGACCACAAGACTTCACACCAGGAACCAATGAAAAGCTCAAGTCCTCACTCTCCCAGTAGCCACGATTTGACATCCCGACAGGCAGGCGGGAAACCCAGCATCACCTTACAAGATGAATGAACTGCCCCTTCATAAATTAGTTCCTACTCAGACCTGCTTCCTCCTCGAAGTAATGTCTGTCCCGCCTGCCCCTGACCTTGCTGCTTGGTAGGTCAGACTCTAGTTGATGATGGATTTCAAAAAGACTGGAGAGCACTATGGAATAAAAAGCAAATCCATCATAAATTGGAGAGCCGATCTCAGGTTAGATGGAAGGCTTTCTGCAGTTAGTAGAAATGATCCTGGAGAACCACTGAATTGTTTGTCAACCTGCTGACAAATGAGCTTGGGCAGAGCTGGATTAATTAATCACAGAAGACAAATCTGAGGAGAGTGTCGAGACAGGCATTTTGAGGGAATTCTGTGAACATCACAGGACTAAAAAAAGCCCTCCAGGTATCAAAATATGCCCTCACATATCTTCGCAGACACAACCTTCTTTGCTCCAGGAAGGCTGCTCTTCCCCAGGTGTTCGGGCTCCCATCCTGCGCACAGCTGCCTTGTCCAGAAGGGCTGCCTTGTATGTGAGCCCCAGGCGAGATCAGCATGACGGAACCTCATGGAGACGGCGGTGGCAGCTGCCCCGTAGATAAATCGGAGGATGTCCATCTCAACCCATCTCTCTACAGTTTCCTGGGAGAGAGTGTGGGGGGATGGGGGAGAGGTGCATTCCTCCTCCTGTTACAGCTGGGAGTGCAGGGAAGGAAGCAGACGGGTGCCCGGAACCCAAGATAGCATCCACAATGGAACTTCATGTCTTCGCAGATTCACCCGTATGTGTGAGATATGTATACGTATACGTATATATATCAAAAGGAGACATGAGAAGAGAAAACAATTTTGAGAGCGCCGTGGGCACCCCCTCCATGGTTCCTCTCTGTGAGCGCACGTCCAGGAGTGGGTGACACGGGGAAGACGGAACCCTCCAATTGCCCAGGGTGCTTTCGTTTCCTCCTGTCTTCTGTAGGACGAGCCTCTTACAGACGCAAGCGTTAAATATTTCCAACAACACGGCCCCTGAACAGAATCCAAGTTTTCTCTTTCCTTCCTCCTTCTTGCCATTCTCCTCAAGGTCTCCTCCTCTTCTTCTGCCCTCCCCCACTCTTTTTCATAACATCCTTTTTCCCTTTGGGGCTTATGCATAATCCTCAATGATAAATGTGGCAATATCTGGGCTCCACTGGAGTTATAGAGTACTACTAACCCTAGATGACAAGAAAGCAGACCTCCCTCCATGTACTTTTAGAAGGGGCTTTAATCATTACATCCCGGTGTCCCCTCCCTTGGGGACTACCTCCCCCGCGACCCCCCACCCCGGGAGGACAGCTCACCTGCCGGCAGCGTGGAGAACTCCACGAAGGCCTCCCTCGTCTCCCTCTGCTCCAGGGGCAGCTGCCAGGGCATCTGGTGGGGCTTGGCCAGGACCTTCACCTTGTAAGCCGCGTTGGGCCTGAGGTTGCAGAGCTGGTAATTGTAGCTGGGGGCCCGGACGACGTCCAGCTCCTGCTCATTGAGGAAGATGACATGGCTGTAGTTGCTGTTGGTGGGCACCCAGGAGAGCTGGGCGGAGACCTGCGTGATGTTGTCCACACGCAGGTGGGACGGTGCCACCACCACGTCCTTGCCCACCAGCAGCGTGCAGCGCAGCTCGTCCGAGCTGCCCCGGCTGGTGACGCACTGCACGGAGATGCGGTAGGTGCAGGCTGCCATGTTCAGCTTCTCCACCAGGGCCTTGGTCCTGCCACCCAGCGCCAGGCTCAGGCGCGTCTCTGCGTCCACCAGCACGTTGTAGGTGCCCACAGTCCCCCAGCCCGGGGGCACCGCCGGGGGCTCCCAGCCCACAATGACACTTTTGGCAAGTTGTTTGATGAGGGTGATTTTCCGAGGGTAAGGCACGATGTCTTCTCCGATGTCATCGATGTTCGTGTCCAGCGTCCCCGCCCCGTGGTCAGAGGGGCCGGAGTCCGTGTGCGTCGGGGAGTGGAGGTCCAGGATGCGCTCCCCCTCCGAGCTGACGCCGGCTTGGCTGAAGTTCTGATCCTGGTCTTTCCCCAGAGTGGTTGCCAGTCGAGACTCGTCCTGGACAAAATCCACGAAGTTGGAGGGCACCAGGCCCCTCTGCCCGTCCAGGAGCTCGCCTGTGGGGTACGAGGACAGGGTTACCGCCCAACTGTCCCATGGGGGCCCGAGGGCCTGCAGTGGAGTCTGCGCCTCCCCGCAAGGGGACTGCTGTACGGAAAGCAGCAGGGGTCACAGTGGATTCCTCAGCCCTTTACAGGAATCACTCCAGCATCACCTCTTCGGGACCCCCGCCCCTGCGCCAGAACCCCGCAACCTGCCATCTGCCACCCCACCAGTGAGGCTGGCTTCCCCCGTAGCTCCCAGCACACCGCGGCCAGCCACCTGCGTATGTGTGTGTCAACGCCCCGCTTCCAACGGGGACGAAGGCCCTGTGTGTCAACGCCCCGCTTCCAACGGGGACGAAGCTCTGGGAGGACAGGGAACTCTGTTCCCTGCTAGATCTGCAGGGACACCTGGCACAGGGTAGGTGCTCAGTATGAGTTTGTCAGAAGGACAAACAACACGCAAACTGCGTGGGTTTGGAGGCTAAAAAAATTACACACCTTACTCTGATTTTTGATTAGGTGATCACACAAACAGGAATTAAAAGGTGAATTTCCCCCGCCTTGCAGAGCAATGTGTCTGTCTTGGCGAAATTCCCGACATGTGTCCGTTTGGTGAGAGACGATCAATTTGGTCCCAGAACCACCTGGAGGCTGAGTGGCCCAAAAAATGCCACCAAACTAGCTCTCGTGGCCGCGGGCAGTCACTGCGGGGACCATTTTTTAGTTCTTGAAATGGTCTAATTTCTTTGCGTTCTCTTTGTTCATGGGGCTCGGAAGCCTGCTGCGAGCAGAGCCGTGGAAAACTGAGAAGCGTTTGGAAGAGCTTCAGAGATGACACAGTTTAGGTGAGCTCGCGACACCAGTGGGAAAGGGCTGTTTCCCCTGGCACGTCGCAGAAAGGGCTTGACTGGGGGTCCGGGGACCCGGGAGGCTGGGCAGCATGGAACGAAGGGTGGGGTCTGCTCCCAGTAGACACATGCACACGTCAAGGGACGTGCGACGGGCCCGGGCGAGAGGGATGCTGACCACTGAGTCGGTCCCGAGTCTCCCAGGATCAACGAGGATCTCTGTTTCTGCTCCTGTCCCCAGCTAGAGGGCGGGTCTTGAGATGTCAGTCTTTGCCTCAAGGATGCTCGGAAAACACAGCCTCATTTGACACAAGGAACGCCGAGAAGGAGGAGGGTGGGAATGACAGCAAATCCTATGTACCAGGCCGCATCCTCAGACCCCACGTCTGCTTCCTCATTTATCGCCACAGCCGCCCCTTAAGGTGGCCACCGCGACCATCTGCATCCCCATAGTGAGGGGAGGTGAGCTTGCCACTGTCATGTGGACAACGGAACGCTGAGCTCTGCCGCCTGCCTTTCATCCGGCCTCTGGAAAGTCTATGTGGGCACAGTGCCTGGCTCAAATACTCTAGAGAATTCCAACGAGGGTTATCTGGCAGCCGCCTTGGGCACACAGTTCTCCCCTGGTGCGCACATCGGTGATGGCAATGTGAATTTGTGTTAAGAGTTCAAGGAGTTTTGCCACCAGTTGTGGTGAAATTTCTCGGGAGGCCTACCCACAGCTGTGCCACTGTTTTTCCGGTAACTAATGGAAACCAAGAATTTCAATGACCCCAGGTTCTGGCACCTTCAGAAAAACAGCCCAGGCTGGGCTGCCGCTCACCGACCTCAGCGGAGGCCACCTGGTCTCGGGGCCCATCAACCCCAGGACAAGAGTCAAGAGTGTGGCCATCAGCTCCAGGGAAACTCCAGGAGGTCACGCAAGAGAAACCTGCTAGTTTAGCAAGAAACAATTTTTTTCTGCTCGGACGGACAGGAGGAAACCGAGACCCTTCTGTTAGGGCAATGGGAGAGTTTAGGGAACCGAGGAATCTGGATTTATGAAGCTCCTGGGGATGTCCCACGTTCATCCTCTAGCTACAAAAGTGACCAAGGTTATGAGTTTTGGGCAGAGGAATTCCCATTTCCTGATCTCACACCGCACAAGGTGCAGGAAGTGGTCAGGCAGGACACGGGGCTGGACCACCCTAGGTTAACAACAGAGGCTGAAGGTCAGTGGGATCGCTGTGAACCAGACGAGGTCCCCTGAAAGGGTCCCTGGCCCTGCCTCGGAGAAGGTGCTGGGCTGTAAGAGAGGCGGGGAGGAGAGACCCTCATCTGTCAGCCCCACGTGTCTGCGGGAGCTCCTGGGAAGCTCTGGACGTGAACATGAGAAGGTATCCACCCCGTATCAGAGGGCTGCTTGGGGTTAAAAACAGGAAACCCCACTCAATCAGACAAAAGGGGAACAAACACCTCGTAACTCCCGAGGGCGGGAGGGTCAGAGCAGAGGCTGGGGCGGCCGGGAGTGATGGGCGGCCCGGCCCTGGCCTGGCCTGTGTGCGCCACCTGCCCACCGCGCTCTCACTGACCTTCATAGAAGCCGTCCTCATCCATGTCTCCATAGACGTAGAGGTACCTCCCCGCCGTGAGGGGCAGCTCAGCCTCTGGGTTCTCATTTGGCCCGTCGAAGGGGTTGTAACTAGAGAGAGAAACAAAACCCATTCAGTAATGCTCTGGATGGAGACCGACCCCAGCCCATCCCTTGCAGAGCTCGGGGCCTCCTCCCTGCTGTCGCCAGGACATTTTGGACCCACGCGATGGTTCGGTGCTCGTGGATTGTCAATGCACTGTAAGCTCAGGCCATCAGTAACTCAACTCACACAGATTTCATGCTACATGGTAGTTCTGGAAGCAAGCTGTACACTGAGTCCTTTGTATCAGATGACATTTAAATGACTCCACATTATATTTTTAAATAAATTTCCAAATCAGCAAGCAAATAAAAAAGTAAATAATCCTATAATCGTTCAATATATATTATCGATCACAGGTAGAATCATATGACATATTCTCTTTAGTCACCTGCTTACTCTTTACACTTTGCAACATGACATGATTATCTTTCCCCTCATGAAATATTCTATCATATCCTTTTTGATGGCTGTATAATACTCCACTGAAGAGATTAACATACTTTATTTAACCAATTTCCTATGTTGGGCATTGATATTTCTTCAAACTTTTGGCTGATATAATCAGTGCTGCATCCAATATCCTTATCAACGTATGTTGCACACCTGCCCACTTTCTTCCTAAAGATAAGTCCCTAGGTAGTATATTTGTTTGGTCAAAGTCCTGCACATTTTAGAGGTCTTGGGTATGTACAGCCAAAATGTTCTAAAAACGGATGCACATTTTGTCTTCCCCTCCCCACTAGGACTGTAAAATGCCCACTTCTCAAATCCTCAAAATACTGGAATTAACTTTTTTAAAGTCATGTCCAACTTGCAGATAAAACATGTGAGATGAATTTTTGATTTTCTAATTTTTAAAGGGTCAATTAATTTAAAATAACAGGAAAGGACTCAACAAGAAAAAGTGACATCAGTGATCGTGGGAGATGATCACTTAAACAAAAAGAAGAAAGGGTGTCACTCAGCGTCCTGTCACCCAAAGGGTGTCACTCAGCGTCCTGTCACCCAAGGGTGAAGCCGCAGCAGCTCCCCTGGGGGCCAGCAGCCCCGTGAGGTACCAGCACTTTCCTCTGTGTGTTTTATTTGATCCCCATCGACGCTCAATGAGGAGAGCAGAGATGATGATATTCTCATTCCCAATTCTCATTCTCATGGCCAGCTGAAGTGTAATGACTTGTCCAAAGCCATACGCTCACTGGGAGGTGTGGGTGGGAGCAGAACGAAGGTCTCCTGACCCTCACCCTGTGTGGGTTTAACCACACCACGTCGCCCTGTCCCTTGGAGTCCAGAGGCCCAGGGATGTCGTCCAGCGCCCTGAGGGTTTTACTGAGTCAGTGACTGCTGGGGCATCTGCATCAGGATGGAAAGCAAAGCAGACGGACGTATGATGTGAAAGCCCAGCGGGTGGAGTGAAACCAAACGTGGTTTCTGGCAGAGGGAATGGCACGTGCAAAGGCCAGGAGGACGGGAGGGGGTCCCCCAGCTGCTGGAGAAAGGACGGGTGAGGGTAGGAGCGCTGGGGGCCGTGGGTCGGAGGGGCCACATCGGTATGGATTTAACCTCCAGAGCTAATAGCTATCGGGAAGGAGTCGTCACCTACGGGGTGATGTGATCGCATTTGCGTTTTGCAGAGGGGTCTCTCTGATGCCGTGTGGATGGGGTCTAGCTGGGCAGGGAGTGTCCTTAGAGGAGATGGAAGGGGGGCTGCCTGGGGAGGGGAGCAGGGTCCCGGAGGACTCGAAGCTTTCTGGCTTCAGGAGGTGCAGATGTGGGTGCAGTTACTGGGCAGGGGCTGGCGGGAGTGGGGCTGGATGCGGGGAGACGGGAGGCCCAGGGTGCAGTTCCAGGCGCCTTACGCTGCCTAGGCTCAGAGGGGCTGTGGCTGCAGGTGGAGCCTGGAGTGGTCCACGTGCAGAAGAGGTCGCCCAAGTGGGGAGGATGGAGCAGGAAGACAGGGAACGGGGCCCAGGCTTCAGGAGGCCGCACATCACTCTCAGGAAGAGAAGTCTCAGCTGGTGGGAAAGAGGGTGGAAGAGGCCAGCATGGGGAGGGGACCGTGGGCACAGAGGGGAACTGTGCACCGATGACGGAGTCCACATCCATCAGGGGTTGATGCATAAAATGCAGTCTCCCCAGGCTTCCCTGGTGGCACAGTGGTTGAGAGTCCGCCTGCCGATGCAGGGGATGCGGGTTCGTGCCCCGGTCCGGGAAGATCCCACGCGCCGTGGAGCGGCTGGGCCCGTGAGCCATGGCCGCTGAGCCTGCGCTCCGCAGCGGCAGAGGCCACAACAGTGAGAGGCCCGCGTT